ACTTATCCCCACTGGCAGAGATTTGGGACTATTAAAAAAAATGTTTTTAATGTTTGTTTATTTTTGAGAGAGAGAGAGAGAGACTGAGTGTGAGTGGAGGAAAGGAGCAGAAACAAGGGGAGACAGGGAATCCGAAGCAGGCTCCAGGCTCCAAGCTGTCAGCACAGAGCCCAATGAGGGGATTGAGCCCACAAACTGTTAGATCATGACCTAAGCTGGACACTTAACTGTCTGAGCCACCCAGGGGCCTCTGGGACTACTAATAGAAGGAGAAAGGGAAAGTTGAACGATAATACAAACAATAGCAAACACCTCCCACTAATCTAAATAGCAAATATTCATTCTCCTTAAGATGGTTCTAATCTGCCACTTCCTCTCTATTACTTGCTTTACTCTACTTTCTCTAAGGCATATCTTGGTAAAAAGAAGTCTTCAGTCTTTAATCCTTTGCATTCCAGCTTGTGTCTTCTTCATTTTACCCTAAGTAACTTTACTGTTAACTCTGAAGGTTTACCATGATTTCTCTAAGTGTTTTTTAATATTTAAAAAATGTTTTATTTATTTTTGAGAGAGCGAAAGAGAGAGCATGCGCAGGCGTGCATGTGCGTGGGCAGGGCAAGAGTATCCGAGGCGGGGCTCACATTCACCAACTATGAGATCATGATCAAAGTCGAAGTCAGATGCTTAACTGACTGAGTGACCCAGGCACTCCTTAATTCTTTTAATGTTTATTTAGTTTGAGAGAGTGTACGTGTATGCACATTTAAGTAGGGGGAGAAGCAGAGAGAGATGAAAGAGAGAGAATCCCAAGCAGGTTGCATGCTGCCAGTGCAGAGCCTGACATGGGGCTCAATCCCATGAAACATGAAATCACAGCCTGAGCCAAAACCAAGAGTCTGACGCTTAACTGACTGATCCACTTAGGCACTCTTTCTCTGTGTTTTAATTCTTAAATTTTAATACATGTATACACATATGCTTTATGCATATATTTCTATATTGTATGTATTTTATTAAAATACAAATAATTTAAGTTTTAAAACTTAATACCAATATGCATTTTATAATTTAGATATAATTGAACACATACAAGATTCTATTCTTCTAGGTGTACAACATAATTTGATATATGTATATATTACTATATGATCACCATAATAAGTTAACATGCATCACCACACATAGTTTAAAAGTTTTCTTGTGATGAGAATTTTTGAGATCTACTCTTTTAGCAACTTTCAAACATACCATATAGGTTTAAAAAATTCTTTTTGATGTTTATTTATTTTTGAAGGAAAGAGAGCCAGAGCATGAGCAGGGGGAGGGGCAGAGAGAGAGGGAGACACAGAATCTCAAGGGGGCTCTAGGCTCTGAGCTGTCAGCAGAGAATCCAATGCAGGGCTGGAACTCAAGAGCCACGAGATCATGACCTGAGCCGAAGTTGGACACTTAACCCAACTGAGCCACCCAGGTGCCCCTACAGTTTAACTATAGTCACCATGCTGTACGTTATGTCCCTAGGACTTTATTAATTTGTAACTGGAAGTTCGCACCTTTTGGCCATCTTCATCCACTTTGCATAGCCCCCCTGTAGTATATTTAGTGGGTTTTCAAGACAGCTGAGCCTCATTAACATCTCTCAAACATCAAACATTAAACATTTCTTGCAACTCCATCCTCTCTTGTCACCCTTGATTCATTTTTCCTCCACCTCTCCAAGGTTTGTTTCCATCATTTCCCCTTCTTACTCCTTTAAATACACCTTATTGGCAAACTTTTCCCGTAAAGGACTTGCTGATATATAGTTGAGCCTATGTGGGCCTTAAGAGTTTCCTTCACAACTACTCAACTCTGCCATTATAACATGAGAACAGGTGTAAACACTAAATAAACAAAGGAGCTTGGCCATGTTCCGATAAAACTTTACTTACAAAAACAGTGGGCTGATTTGGACTAAGGACCATAGTTTGCTGATCTCTCATTTAGGAGCCTCTTGAGAAAGGGAGACTAGGCGATGAATGCGGGGACTTGCATGTCTAAAACTGTCTCTCATCTCCAACTTAAATGCTCAGGATGGCTAGAATACAATTCCAGGTTGGAAAAACCGCTCCTCATAATTTCAAAGGTACTGCTCAATTTTTTCTACCTTCCACAATGCCTCGTTTCCTTGGCTCAGCTAGCTCTGCTAGCCTTCAGGGGTAGTGCTTTGCCTTAGGATTTTATTCAGGCGCACAAAGCTATTTTACTTCATTAGGCACATTTTTTACATTTCTAAAAATCCACTTGAAGAAATTGACCATTATGTTTTCCAATTTCCTATACCCAAGGAATATCTTTTCCTAGAATTTGGGACCAGAAAAATATTGGACTCTCAGGGGAAACGTCTATGCCGTCTTTTATGAGACAACGGGCATTAAGTAACCCATTGTGATTCATTTTCTGCCTTGACTGTTATTGTCCAATTGAATTAAACTCTCATACCATATTCATTTGTATCCTCCGACGTTTAATAAAAGTGAATAAATGTGAAGAAGCAGCCAAAAGGAAGGCAACTATTTTGTCAGCTGTTGCAACACTGGAGTCTGAAGGGATAGAAACAGATAATTCCTTTCAACATCAACATCACATTGTAATAATCTATTTCTAGATGGGCTAGATATCAGCGCGGCCATCTTTACAAAATATAATCTTCCATATAGAGCATCATTTTGATCATTTCTCTCTTCTTACTCATCCATATTTACAATAAATCACGAAATCCCACTACTACTATGTCCTGGGTCTTTTTTAGTTCACCATGTTTAGACCACCTTCATCATCTCACCTGGATTATTGCACAACATCCTAACAAAACTAGTGTTTTTGCTTCCAGCCTTACCTCTTTCCAATCTCTTCTCCATCCTGGGGCCAAAACAGCTGAAAAGCAAACAAAAAGCCCACTTTGTTGAATAAATATTCCTTAGCATGCTTATCGGGACTAGAGATCCCACCAGATTGCTACAAGTGAAACTAATTGTTTTGTGGTTTTTCTCTTTCTTTACTGATGCACCACCCACCACTCTTTACCGTGATGGTTGCTTTTCATCGAAAGTTAGTTTGGTCACCAGTTCCAAGGAGTCATTTATTCCTGGTAATATATTCATATGTAGCATGTCACTTAATTACAGAACATTCCAACTAGTGTAGTGTTTCTCAAAGCATAGTCCAGGGATCATCCACAATGGGTTGTAGAGGGGAGGGTCCCAAAATTTGTACTCAAATGAAGAATATCATGTGCTTTTAAGGTACACACTGTTTGAGAACCACTAATTAAAGTTTCTCTGACTTGTCCAGTTAAACTTATGAGCCAATTTTATTTCATGTCCCTCTGCTTTCTCCGGCTTCTCTTGATGTTCCATTTTCAGCCTGACGAGGAGAGGTGGGTAGAAGAGAAGAACATGTACTCAGACTTGGGACTGGGATAGCTTCTTTTTGACTGCGAGCAGTTTCTTCAGCTTGCTTTGCTGCCTGTGAGATGAACCCAGTGGTTCATTTAGTTGAGCCTACTCTGTCCTCTTAAAGTCTCAGGGCCCTGACTCACCCGGCTCTCGCAACCTAGAATGTTTTTCTCTCCCAACTCACTCCACCCTTCCAAAAGTAATCTAGTCATTAGAACCCTCCAAACAATCCTTCCTGAGTTCCTCAGCCCTTTTTTGCAAGGCCCCCAGTAATCTGTACAAGTGCCCATTCCTAAATTCAACAATTCTACTGGGCACCTACTAAGCACCAAGTACTGTTCCAAGGTCTGGAGATTATGTCTCATGGAACAAGATAAAAGATAAAAATCCTTACTCTTGTGGAATTGGTATTCTATTGAAGAAAGACAGACAAAAACAAAGAAACAAAAAAAAAAACAAGACAATAAATAGTAAATTAGAAAATTGTATGTTAGAAACGGATATCGGAGTAGAGAGGGATGGGGTTCCAATTTAAGCAGTGTGGTGGTAGGAGAGCTTCACTGAGAAGGTATGACATTAAAGGCTAGGAGGGTGAGCCATATGGCCACCTACTTGAGGACCAGGCAGCCAGAAATGCCAGGCAGGTTCGAGGGAGAGGGAGAGCAAGGAGGCCATTGTGACTGCAGTAGGGAAGCCCAGGAAGAGGTCAGGGAAGTTATGACTGACCAGATTCTATCCAGTTTTGTTAGCCACTGTTAAAATTTGGGTTTTTTACTCTGAGAGGAATGGGAAGCCTTTGGAGGGTTTTAAGCAGAGGAGGGACATAATCTGTTTTACGTTTTTTAACCATCGCTCTGGCTGCAGTGTAAAGAATAGACAAGGGGAGACAAGTGCATTCAACAGGCTATTGCAATAACCCAGGGGACGCATGATGGTGGTTTGCACCATGGTGACAGATGTGAAAGTCATAAAATTAATATTTGTTAAATTCGAGTTGCGGTACTAATTACGGCTTACATAGAATGCATCACTAATGTGCTTCTGCAGGGGGTTTTCCAGCCTGGATTTCAGGGAATGGTAGGTAGAGGAAGGAGGAGGGATGGTTTGAGGTTACCTAGGAGACCGAGCATCATAAATCTGAAAACCTGAGATGGTTCTAGGCCTTTAGGCCTCTGGCGCAGCAAGAATTCTGTGGCCGAGCCCACCAGCCGTTTCCCAATGACCATGCGCAACAGGCCAGGTGGGAGCCTATGGAAAACACAGGACGTTCGCAAAGCGGGACAAACGCATTCCGGGAATCGTAGTTCTGCCCCATTGCGCAGGCGCAGTGGCTCCTCGCGGGCTTGCGCGCGCAGCTCCTGCAGGACCAGCTTCTAGAAGCTCATTGCGGTGGCGTTGGTCCTGACTGCGGGTGCTGATGCAGGTAGCGGTGGTCCGGGGCCCCTGACTTGGGGGCTGCGGCCAGGTCGCCGGCTCCGAGGATGCACCTGCAGCGGGTGCATCTCGGGTGCATCCTTGGTGAGGTGGGTGGGTGGGGAGTCGAGCGATCTCAGTGCACCCTCGATGCCGCAGCTTCTGGGGGAGGTGGGCACTGTCCTGAACGAAGGAGCTTTCCTCCATCCCGTCCCTGCGCCCATTCTCCCGCAACTTGGGTACGCGGACACTTTGGGCGGGAAAATTCCTTTATGAGTGTGCGTGGGGGGAGGGAGCAGTGCGGTGACTGCAGGATGTTTAGCAGCCTCCCTAGGTCTACCGGGGAGGTAGGTACCACCAGCACTCCTTCTCCAGTCGTGAGAACCGGAATGTCTTCAGCCGCCCCCTTCCCCCTTTGAGAACTTATTCCTGCCTGCGTCACATTTTCTCGGAGCCTCTATTGTAGACTCCCTGGAGACCTAGACGAGTGTGTTTAGTCACCGCAGAGCCCCAGGTGCTCAGCGCGGCGCCAGGTACGTGGTAGGCGCCTAATTGGCGAAGGAGTAAATGACGTCATGTATACGTGGTAGGCGCTCTGCTCAGAGGTGGGAAATGACTGGTATCATAAGAGGAGAGGGCTTTCCCTTGCCGCGTTGTAGTGCATCTCAGACTGTATTTTTTTAATCTCCTGGGTGCTCTCTGAGGGTGGGGACCCTGCCTGATCTGTCCACGCTTGTCTTCGTAGTGTCCTGATCTTCAGTTATTTGCAGAATGAAAGTATGCGTGTAACACACGATAGGCTCTGTGCAAAAGAGCACTTGAGGATCAGAGAAAGCTTTGTGCAAGAGGCGACAGTTGAAAGGAGTCGTTTTGTAGGGTGAGTAAAAGTTTGGTAGGAGAGGGAAAGAAGGCAGCATTCCTAAGAGGGAGCTGCACTAGTGCAAAGGTTGGCTTTTTTTATGGCTTCTGCATCCATCAGGGGCAGCTAGAGCTCAAGAGGTGAGGTCCTCAGGGCAGGGTCTCTAGATCCCCCATACATGGCCTCTGCATTTGAATTTCACCTTGAGACAGTTGGGGACTGATAGGACCCTGTTTTGCAAAGTAGAAGGAATCCTTAGGCTGCAGTGTGAGACTGGATTGAAGAAACTGTACATTTGTAGTTTAAGTAGGATCAGGGCATCTGGGTGGTTCAATCGGTTGAGGGTCCGACTTCAGCTCAGGTCATGATTTTGCAGTTGGTGAGTTCGAGCCCCACATTGGGCTCTATGCTGACAGCTTGGAGCCTGGAGCCTGCTCCGGATTCTGTGTCTCCCTCTCTCTACCTACTCCTCCCCAACTCACGTTCTGTCTCTCTCTGCCAACGATAAATAAACATTAAAAAAACCACAACAACATGATAGAATGGACATTTATTTTTAGGAAGTAAAACTGCCAGAACTTGGTGGTTGGTTACGTGAAAAAATTTGAGAAGCAAATACGAAACCGGGCTTCTGAGTGAAATGTATGGAAATGTGTGGCCATTCACAGCATCAGGACAGGATGTTGGATAAATTTGTGACTGGGTTCTCTTGTAGCAGTGTGCCTTTTCTGATGTGTTTTGCGTATGAGGAGTCTTTAGTCTGCAGAAACCGTTTCCTTGGTGAATATCTTTAATTCCCCTTAAATTACTCCTCAGCTTTTCCCTTGCAAGGAAAATTATTCCTTTAATATAGCAGTTGGGCGGCCCTCTGTGTATGTCTATGTCTGTGAACCAAACCAAGAACAACGTTTTTAGGAGTAATTGTCTTACCTGCCTAATATCTTCTGTTTCTTGACAGTTTCTGCAAGACCATAAGCTGAATGCTGGGAACCCTTGATATTTTGCTGTCCCTAGTGCCTGTTGGCGGAGTGTACTGTTAATTCACTTAGAGTCTAAAGGGGACTGTATTCCTGCTGGTGATTCACATTGCCAGCTGTAGTACCTTGAACGAGATGACAGCCATCTCCCCAGACTCTCAAACTCTGGCCTCAAGTGAACCAAACAAGGTCCTAAGAATGGATACTCCTGGGGATCAAGAAGCTATCCGGAGAGGAGACACGACTGACCCAGAGACTTTCAGACAGAGGTTCAGGTGGTTTTGTTACTCCGAAGTGGCTGGACCCAGAAAAGCCCTGAATCAGCTCTGGGAGCTCTGCATTCAGTGGCTGAGACCAGACATCCACACGAAAGAACAGATATTAGAGCTTTTGGTGTTTGAGCAATTCCTGACTGTTTTGCCTGGGGAGATCAGGATTTGGGTAAAGTCACAACATCCTGAGAATAGTGAGGAAGTGGTGACCCTCGTAGAGGATTTGGCCCAAACACTTGAAGAAAAGGAAGGTGAGAATTATAGATTGTGGGAGGAAGAGGGAGAAATTTTCTCCAGGTGTGAAAGTAAACTCCCCCAAAGAAAGCAGTTGATTGCTAAAATAGGAGTCCAAGTTTGGGGTTGGGACTGGGTTTGGCTCAGACTCACCTTTTACTGTAGAATCTTGGGCAAGCTCCGTAACCTCTCCGAACTTTCATTTTTTTTAATCTGTAAAAAATGGGTTCCCATCTGCTCTAAGTCTTGTGAGGGCTAAACAGGACAAGGCATAATACTAATTTCTTTCCTTTTCCCCTTGATAAGAGGGAGTCTTAGAACATGGGAGAGAAGGAAATTATCTTAGTGTGTTTGGAGTTACAAGCATATCTTCCAGCCCAGGCCTCAACTTCTGCCTCCAGTGAGTGTAGGAACGCGTTTCCAGAACGGGGCTGCCAGATAGCTGCAATGATGGAAATGTGTTCTGCACTATTTTGTGCTTCAGATTGAACATATGAAATGTGGCTAAGGAGATGAATCTCAAACTAAATTCAGATTGCCATACAAGGTGAGCAGCTACCCTGTTGGAGAGTGCAGTTCCACAGCCTTAGGGGAGAAACAGCTGACTTATATCTTTATAATTACATTATTATAAATGCATGAAATAAAAACTATGAATTATCGCTCATCCTTGTAAGATATTGGTAAAAAGACTTTTAGGATAGATGGCCCTTTGAAGGCGTGTGGTTCAACTTTTATAAGATCCCTCTAATATCCTACAGTGTTCCAATATGTGTAGCATATGAGTTACCATAAGACTCTCAGTACGCACATACAAGAGTTTGTATTCTATCCAGAGTTCCAAGATAGGGGAATGGCACTTACCACCACAGACTTGAATTGTGCTTGCACAGCTGAAGGTACAGTCAACATCTGGGTTTCCTGATTTTTCTCTACTTGTCTGTCATTGCAGTGTGGTGCTTCTCCACAATTAGGGCCTCTATATGGAAGCCCCTGCAGTAAAGAAGTTCATGAATCGATTGCTTTAGCTTTCTGTAAGAACAGTTTCCTCAAAATAGCCCCTTCTTTTTGATTATATAATTCTGATTCTTAATTTCTGTTGATTGTCTATAAGCTGCCTAAAGTTCTTTTCATAAGAAAGTGAAGCATGATTTAAAGAAACGCTTTTCTCTTATTAGAAGAAGGGCTGTTGACATCTCCAGGTATGTAATATAGTTAGCTGATGTGTTCAGATTCCTGATTTCTGTCTTTAGGAATCTGCTGGTGACCCCAGAAGAGGAGTCTGTTTCTGAGACCGGCTTCATTCTCTCTTTCAATAAATGACTCTGCAAGGCACTGTGCTAGGACTATGAAGAAAACAAATTAACGCATAAAACAAAACACTGTTTTACCTTAAAACATCCTGTGACTATTAAAAAAAATTTAGTATACCATTTAAATTTATTAAAACTGTAGGTTTATGAATTGAATGAAATCAGTTATTGTGAGCATAGGAATTGAAAGGCTATTTTATGGGGTAAAGGAAAGAGCTTGGATTTTAAAAGGAGAGTGTATCTGTGGCTTTCATCTCTGTTTTATAGACTGGGGGCGAAACTATTTCTTTTGACCTTTTTCTCCAGAGAGACCTGTAAGAATTTCTAATCTGAGGAATGCATTTGAAAGACTAGAGTGTTCTTCTCCCCTTCCTAGATCCAGCTCCTCAAGAGTCTGTTATTTCCCAAGAAGAGAACCCTGAAGAAAATAAAATGGTTTCTGTCCTTCCAAGCGCTGAGTCCCGGGTAAGCTTCCCTTCACTGGTTTTCATTCTTAAGTGAATACTTAACTGAGCTCCTACAGAGTGGTATAAAAATATTAGAGTAAAGAAGACAGTCTCTTTTTCTTCACATTCTTCAAGCTCATCCTTCAGATGATGTTTTATTTCAGTTACCAAAATTTATCACAAGTCTGATGCTAATAAAAAAAGTAACAGCTCTGTGGGGCACCTGGGCGGCTTAGTCAGTTAAGTGTTGAACTTCAGCTTAGATCATGATCTCGCTGTTCATGAGTTCAAGCCCCACGTTGGGTTTTGTGCTGACAGCTCATAGCCTAGAGATGGCTTCAGATTCTGTGTGTGTGTGTCTCTCTCTGCCCCTCCCCTGCTTGCACTCTGTGTCTCTCTCTCAAAAATAAACAAACATTTAAAAAATTATTTAAAAAACAACAAAAAATATTTACTAAAATTCTAAAATTATTATTTTTTTTAATGATTTTATTTATTTCTGAGAGAGAGACAGGGTGAGCAGGGGAGGAACAGCGAGAGAGGGAGACACAGAATCCGAAACAAGCTCCAGGCTCTGAGCTGTCCGCACAGAGCCTGACATGGGGCTTGAACCCACAAACTGTGAGATCATGACCTGAGCCGAAGTCAGATGCTTAATCAACTGAGCCACCCATGTGCCCCTTGATAAAATTAGTCAAGTGAAAATAAGGTTATATTTTCTTAACAGAATAAAAAATCTCCAGCTGAACAGTGTTGGAAAATAAAAAGCAACTCTCACAATGCCTATAAAAAGATACGGATGTCTAATCATGCTTCTGTTAATGAGTATTTCTTGACTATTCTAGCCAATGCAGTAAAATAAAAAGGAAATGAGGTAAGTATTGGTGTGAAAGAGGCAAGCGTGTGTTATTTGCAGATAACGTGGTCTATTTGTAAACCTCTGAGAATCAACTGAATAAGTACTAAAACTCGCATAATAGTTGAGAAAAGTGGCTGGTTACAAATCAGTAAGCTTCCTATAGACCAATAATTACTGGTTAGAAAATAAAAATTCTTATTTACAGTAGTAAATAATACTGCTAAAATACACGGATGATGGCTCCCAAAAGTATGACCACTTCTTAATCCGTAGAACCTGTGAATGTTAAGCCAGTGCAAAAAGGCTGTATTTCCTGTGTTTGTTAGGAATCCATAACATTCAAGGATGTGGCTGTGAACTTTTCCAGAGGAGAGTGGAGGAAACTGGAGCCTTTTCAGAAGGAGCTCTTTAAGGAAGTGCTACTGGAAAACTTTAGGAACCTAGAATTTCTGGGTAAAGATATCTCTTCCTTATGTAACATATAAGCTGTGTATCTCTTTGTTCACTATTACTGAAAGGTAAATGCTATGAACTAAAAGTTGTGGCTGGGCAAACAAGGTTGACCATGACTGATCCTAAGAGTTCTGAAAATGTACTTTTCTGCAGTGTTTTCTCCCAGAAAATGAGTTTCTGCTTCATTGAACTGGAAATGTTGAGTATCACTGTGCTGTCATCAAGGACATAGCTTCCTTGGTTTTCTTCTCATATTTCAGTGTGTTGATGTCTGTATGTAAAAGCATCTTCCCTTCCCTAGAGAACCAGAGGCTGTGTGTGAATGTTGGACTATGTTTGTTCTATGCAGAAAACAGTCATTTGCTATTCTTTCTCTATGAGCAGGCTTTGCAGTTTCCAAATTAGATTTGATTTCCCAGCTTAAGTGGGTTGAACTGCCATGGCTGCTGGAAAAAGAAGTCTCAAAAGGCTCCAGACCAGGTGAGTTGGTGAAAAACAAAGAAATTAAAACAGTTGTTTAACCAAGTCATTTGTGAAGAGCTTTTGAAACGTTGCATGGGTTAGATAGATGCTAAAGTGGAAAGGTGATTAGAACATACCCCTTGCCTTCCTGGTATATTCATTTTAGTGGGGAGACTGTGGGTCCTCTAAGAAGTAGATGCCAAGACATGATTAGCTATGCCAGAGACTTACTGGGGAGAATTCCAGTGAAGAATTCCAGAGAAATCCAGGGGATTACTGGAAGAGGCTGGGGAAGCTGTCAGAGCATAATGTGAGTGTAACACCTATGAATGAGAGAAGGAAGGGAGAAAGGTTGGGTAAGGAAGTGTCGTCTTAGACTGAAGTGCTGTTTAAGAAAATTTGGGCAACAGGGCGCCTGGATGGCTCACTTGGTTGAGCATCCAACTCTTAATTTTGGCTCAGGTCATGATTTCACCATTCGTGAGCTCAAGTCCCGCATTGGGCTCTGTGCTGACAGCACGGAGCCTGCTTCACACTCTCTCTCCCTCTCTGTTCTTACCCCACTTGTGCTCTTTCTCAAAATAAAGAAGGAAACAAACAAATAGACTTAAAAAAAAAAAAAAAGTTCTGGCAAGGCCAAAAAGTGGAATCACCTGCCCGTCAGGTTGCTGAGTCTCACAAGAAATGGGCCTCCCCAAGTGTCCCTGCTGTACTTGCTGTGGACTGGGAGCCGCTTATGGGAAAGTGGCCTTGTCGTAAATGCGGTGGTGGATGCTCAGGGCAGCTGCAGGGGCTAGTGAGTAAGCACCCCAGACTTGGAGATCTGCAAGGTGCTTCTCTGTGGGTGCTGTAATACGGGTGTCAGAACAGAAGGTTTAATGATGGAATGTGTGCTATAGTTCGCATGTGGAAGGAGCAATGGGAAATACAGGAGCAGCGGCTTATTTCTCATTTAAGCTGAATCTTGAAGGATAAGTAGGAATTCATCCCAGTGGACAACGTGTAGAGTTTAGGCTCTTTTTTTGTTGAAAAAAATGTTACACGAACAGGTATATATTTAAATATATAGACATACATTGATTTTTTAATGTCTGGAGAATTTTCGTGTTCACCTTGGTTATCTTTGAGGGATTACATTTTTTTCTTTGTTCTGCTCTTATATTTAATAAATGTATTAAATTTACATTTAAAAATAATTTATTACAATACCTTTTTTTATTTTAAAGAAAAAATATTTTAGCTCTATTCCACCTTTTATTTAATATAATTTTTTTTAAGTTTGTTTATTTTGAGAGAGACAGAGCATGAGGTAGAGAGGGGCAGAGAGAGAGAAAATCCCAAGGAGGCTCTGCAGGGTCCTCACAGAGCCTGACGTGGGACTCGAACTCACAAAACTGAGATTGTTACCTGAACCAAAATCAAGAATTGGATGTTTAACCAGCTGAGCTACCCAGACACCTCTTAGCTCTATTCCATCTTTTTAAAATTTTATTTTATTTTCAATATTTTTATTTAATTTTGAGAGAGAGCTACAGAGCATGAGCAGGGGAGGGGCAGAGAGAGAGAGGGAGACACAGAATCCATAGGAGGCCCCAACGCGGGGCTCAAACCCACAAACTGAGATCACGACCTGAGCTGAAGTCCTAGGCTTAACTGACTGAGCCACCCAGATGCCCCGTCTCTATTCCATCTTAACCAAAGTCAACCTATTGGCTCTTTTCAATATAGATATGTAAATAAAGAGTATTATGTTTAATATAAATGGTTTAAATATGTGCCCCTCCACCCCAGAATTATCCCACATCCACCCCGTGTAGATGTACACCTTGTTTAAAAAGTTATTTACAACAGACTGGAGAAAAAACTCTGATGGGCAAAGCAGAGTCAATACCTGTAATTTATAAAATACCTAAGGAAATCAGCAAGGAACTGATTTTTGTAATGCTGAATCTGTTAGAAAAATGGGCAAAGAACTTGAGCAGATAGCTGACAAAAATAACTGACAGAACTAAAATTTAAATAGTTGCAAACTTAAAAAAACAGTTCCAAGTCACTGGTCAGCAGTAAAATACACATTTAAAGCAGCAGATCTGCTTATCCATCAAATTTGTAAAGATTCAAAGAAAGATCATTTGACCAGGGAGGAGGACTCAGGTACTTGTGTTTATCATGTCTCATATGGTGGTAAAACTTTTCTACCCTTGGTTCAGTAACTCCACTTTTATGACTGTTTTCCTAGGAAATACTAATCATTTGATAAACCTTCAGTATGGGAATGACTCAACTGTAATGCATCTAAATGATGACTTAATAATGATTCACATCATTCTTAGGAAGAATTATCAGTGAGATGGGAAGGAATTATGAATGAAAAAAGTAACACTACATGTTATACATAGTTTTATATTTAAATGTATAGGAAAGTTTTATTCTTTTTTTTTTTTTAAAATATTTTTATTTATTTCTAGGAGAGAGAGAGAGAGACAGCGTGAGCAGGGGAGGGTCAGAGAGAGAAGGAGTCACAGACTGAAACAGGCTCCAGGCTCTGAGCTGGCAGTCAGCACAGAGCCCGACGCAGGGCTCGAACCCACAAACCGCGAGATCATGACCAAAGCGAAAGTCAGATGCTTAACCGACTAAGCCACCCAGGCGCCCCTAGGAAAGCTTTATTCTAAAATATAGAGAAAAGTTTCTTTAAAAAATACACAATTTTTAACAACGATTAGCTTCTGGGTAATAGAATTTTCGTATTTTATAGTTAGCTCTTTCAAAAATAATTTCCTGAGGGACACATGGGTGACTTAGTCCATTAAGCATCTGACTCTTGGTTTGGGCTCAGGTCATGATCTCATGGTTTGTGAATTTGAGTCCTGCATCCAGCTTAGAATTCTCTCTCTCTCTCTCTCTCTACCCCTCCCCCACTTGTGCTCATGATCTCTCTAAAATAAATATTAAAATATAATAGTTTATGAAAGTAACAGTGCAATCTCAAGTTGAATGATAATGGCTAGTAAATGAATTCAGAGTTCTGAGAAGAGTGTAAATAGAATATGGCATTAGAGAAGGCTGTGGAGATTGTGGGACTTGACCCCTAGGCCCTGTCAAATTTATGTGCTTGTAATAGTGAATAGTTGAATAGTGCATAGTGAATGCTTGGGATTGCATTTGAGGTAGTATGAAGACTGAGAGAACAGGATTGAGAATACCATAGTGTTGTAGGGACAGCAAATGGATGCCTGAGTAGAGCGTATCCATAAGATTGGGCCAGACTGTGGTAACCTTTGAAAGTCTAGCGTAGTTGATGTTGTGTGCCTGTGATGTGATCAACATTTTCTATAAACTTAGTGCTATTTGGCTGCTTTGAGAAGCAGTTTGGTAGAGGGATCAAAAGAACGTGCTTTGATAAATAAACATTTTTTAAAAATAAAATGATTAAAAAATAGATTATGGGCTTTGGTGCCAGACTAGATTAAAACCTGCCACTGACAATACATGTGACCTTGGGTAAGCTCCTTACACTCCAGGTGCCTAGGTTGTCACACCCACAAAACAGGGATAATAACAGGACCTGCTTTATAGGGTTGTTGTGAAGATGAAGTGAAATACAAGTGCCTGATGTGGGACCTGGCGTTTACTAAGGATTCAGTAAATGTTTGCACTGTCATTATTATTTGGAAAGAGGATAGACTGGAAGTAGAGTAAGGTCGAACCTATTAGAGAAATTTGCAATGAGGATAAGAACGTGCATCTTTATTCTAACTATAAAGCACAAACTCTTCGTTTTCCTCAGTATTTTTCCTAACCCTATATTTACCTAGTTTCTCTCTATTACTTTTTTCTTTGTTTTGGACGATTCTGAGAACTGTCCAAGCCATGCTCCTACTGTTCATAGTCCTTACTATCTCTCTTCCTGCTTCAGTCCCAAATATGATAGCTTCCTTTACTACAACAGGACATACCCTATTTATTATTTCTTTTAGAGTGTGAACCTAGAGGTGAATTGAAGGAATCCTTTCGAAATCAAGATGCTCTCCTGGATGAATCAACTTTAAATAAAATAATAGAAAGATGCCTAATGGGTGGGGATCATGGCTTGATGGGAGAATCCCGGAAGCGTAGCAGTAAGGAACATTCACAAGGCGCAGTCACACAAAAGAAATCTCATGGGAGAGGCAGTAAGGGTGAGGAATTTGACCCAGAAAAGAGCCCCTTTGGAAGTAATTTCAAACAAACCTCGGACATAATTAAACATCTGAGAGTCTACTTAAGGAAGAAATCTCGGAAGTATAACGAATGCAAGAAACCCTTCAGTTTTCATTCAGACCTTATGAACCGCAAAGAGCACACTGGAGAAAAGCCACGGAAATGTAACGAAGGCAGGAAAGGCCTAGGTCACTCTTCATCTCCTAATGAACATCAGAAGCATCAGAAAATCAGTAGGAATTTGGGGAGGAAGGCCCAGAAATGCAGTAACTGTGGGATAGCCTTTACGCGAAGCCTGTCCCTTACTAAGAGAAGAAACTGCACTATATGTGAAAAATGTTGGAAAAATTTACATCAAGATGCAACCTCAGATAAAGATGAGGGAGCTGAGATGGGAGAGAAGACCCACAAATGTAGCAAATGTGGAAAAGCCTTCGGCTATAGTGCCTCCCTGACCAAACACAGGAGAATTCACACAGGGGAGAAACCCTATATGTGCAATGAATGTGGAAAAGCTTTCAGTGACAGCTCATCCCTCACACCGCATCACCGAACTCATAGTGGAGAGAAACCCTACAAATGTGATGATTGTGGAAAAGCTTTCACCCTGAGTGCCCACCTCATTAAACATCAGAGAGTTCATACTGGAGAAAAACCCTACAAATGTAAAGAATGCGGGAGACCCTTCAGTGACAGTTCATCTCTTATTCAACATCAGCGAATTCATACTGGAGAAAAACCCTACACGTGTAACAATTGTGGAAAGTCCTTCAGTCACAGCTCATCCCTTTCCAAGCATCAGAGGATTCATACTGGAGAGAAACCCTATAAATGTGGTGAATGTGGAAAAGCCTTTAGACAGAATTCTTGCCTTACTCGACATCAGAGAATCCACACTGGAGAAAAACCCTATTTGTGTAATGACTGTGGGATGACTTTCAGCCATTTTACATCTGTCATTTATCATCAGAGGCTTCATTCGGGGGAAAAACCCTACAAGTGTACCCAGTGTGAGAAAGCCTTCCCTACCCATTCGCTCCTCAGTCGTCATCAGAGAATTCATACTGGTGTAAAACCTTACAAGTGTAAAGAGTGTGGAAAATCGTTCAGTCAGAGTTCATCTCTCAATGAACATCATCGAATTCATACCGGAGAGAAGCCCTATGAATGTGACTACTGCGGAGCGACTTTCAGCCGGAGCTCAATCCTGGTGGAACACCTAAAAATCCATACCGGGAGGAGAGAATATGAATGTAACGAATGTGAAAAGACATTTAAGAGTAACTCAGGCCTCATCAGACATCGGGGATTTCACTCTGGAGAGTAATTCTTGAAATACTGTAGGGTGGCGGGGGTGGGAGGGTGGAATATCACCAAATTGTCCCTTATTAAAAACCTGGGGTGTAAACTACCACAGCATTGATCTGCAGCCACCACTTTGATGGGTTGGCAGCTAGGAAAAACACTGTTTCCCATGCACACTTTGGCAAATCATAATTCGGGTTGGTAAAATCACATTGAAAGTGAAGAACACAGGACAAGATGACCAATGATTCTAAAAGGCCAAATGCACATTTAAAAATCAAGAAGAGGTGCATGGGACCCACTTAACCTTTTTTTTCCCCAAGAAGTTTCTCTCTTTTAGCTTCTAGAAAGAACTGGTCGAGATCTGTTCCAGTTTGCCAACCACTTCGCTGTGTCACCTTGGGGCACGTCATTTGCCCTTTCTAAATTTGAGTTTCTTTACTGGCACAGTGAAGGGAAGAGGGCTCATAATTTCTAAGTTTACCTCTGATCCTGTCTGAAGCTGTGGGAAGAAGCTGAGCACTTTTGATTCATTGGAATTTTCAAGTTTCTGTGGTAGGAAATTCCTTAAGATCCTGAGCTTCTAGCTTACTGAGAATGAAGTATACTCTTTGAATACTTGAATACATTGGAATTTTCAAGTTTCTGTGCTAGGAAATTACTCACTTAAAATCTAGCTTCTAGCTCAGTGAGAATAAAGTATACTCTTGGAATACTTGACACTGAATCCCTAGATCATCAGCAGGAACAAGTCAGTGAAGCTCACACAGGTGTGTCTCCAGGGAGTGTTTTCATTGGACAAAATACCCCAACTTGTTTTTCCTCTGGGCTTCGGTTAGGGGCTTAGGGAACTAGAGGGTGTTCACAGGAGCCGTCTCACTCGAGAGAGGAGCAGTCCTGGGAAAATAGGTTGGGGCTGGGGAGGGGGGTGGGGGGAGGAAACAGGTGCTGAAAGCAGAGCTATTCTGGATGGATTGTCTTTTACAAAATAGAATTCTATTTTTTTAAAAGTTTGCTTATAGTAAGTACAGCTCCTTGTAATCAGAGCGCAGACATTGTGTATGGCAGAGGTCACAAGCTAAGAATGGGCCGTTCGATACGTTTTATTTGGTCTGCACGGTAAGGTGTGTGTGTGTGTGTGTGTGTGTGTGTGTGTGTGTGGAGTAAGTTGTCACTATTTAAAAATTTGATTTCCTATTAAAAAAAAAAAAGGGCTTGCCTTGAATAATTGCAAGGGCTGACCACACTGGCCCATGTTTCAGTGGAGTAGTCAGCTGGTTTAGGGTGGCGCCTGCTGCCCTTACGTGAGGAATCCACTCCTACTTGCCAAGTTCTCTCATTTATAGGACCCGACTTGCCCACTATAGGAACTTGATGTTACGATTCCCTACCATCTGGAGAATGCATATTCTAACATTTAAAGAGACTCTATTGATAGTAAAATTCAAGAAAAGAATGTAGAAATCCCACAAAATAACTTCTCCGTTACATTTTTTGTTGAAATGGGACCTGAAAGGAATAGAGTGTGCAGATAGTAGTCGAGTGTTCCTTAGATATCTCATTGGTGGAGTGTGAATAATAATTTCTAACTGAAAAAGGAACTAACACCCAGAATCAGAGTTAGTTCTCAAGTGATGGGGTTCTGCAGGCACTCTACTGATTCAACGGTAGCACCAGAAAGTTCCTCAAGTTGAAATTTGGGGCAGCTGTAACATGAAAGAGAATGAAACCAGAAAACTTAGGGCTTATGGAAGAAGATCCTTCATGCTTATTGGAGACTCAGCAAGATTGGCTGTGATTTAATGGGTGTGGGTTTGCAATAATGCTACCTCTGTCCATTCTCTTGTTTTCTTCCTTGAACCCCAACTCTCCCCACCCTAAAGCTTGTAGTTCAGATACTGCTGGGTGATAAATTGGTCTGCATAATTAATTGCTCAGTGGACCAACAGACATTCTAACCATGAAAGGAATGTGGTTTATGAGAATCATTCATCCTGTGAATATATATAAACCCTGGTTTCTTTTTTTCAAAAAGATACAATGTGTAAAGGGAAGTACATAAAATTCTTGAGAAGCTTGTTCCAGGATGTTTACTAGTTCATTCTCCAGTATTCTTAAGAGGATGTTTATACCATTGTTAGTTGGGAATCTGGAACATAGTTTTTTATAACCAGTTTATTGGGGTGTACGTTACATCTAAAAGTCATTTCGAGGGTATAATTGAGTGAGTTTTGGCAGATTGACTGAGTTGTGCAGTCCTCACCATACTCCATTTTTAGAACATTTTATAACCTCAGATTCCTTGTGCCCACTTGCAGTTAATCCCTGTCCCTACGCTTAGTCACGGGCAACCACTCCTCCGTTTACGCTGTCTGTAGAGTTGCCTTTTCGGGACATTTTATATAAATGGGATCGTATGTGGTCTTTTGTTTTTCATTAACATGTTTCTGATTTCGTAGCATATCAGTCTGTTGTTTTTATTGTTAAATAAGACCCTATTTTATGGGTACACCCTGTTTTGTCCATTCACAAGTTGAAGGACATTTGGGTTGTTTACAGTTTTTGCCTGTTAAAAAAAATGCTGCTTTGAACATTGATGTGTAAGCCTTTCTGTGGACAGGTTTTCATTTTTCCTAGGTAGATGCCTGAGTGACTGACTCATCTGGTAAATTTTTGTTTTAACATTTTAAGAAATTGCCAAATTGTTTTCTCAAGCGAGTGCATCATGTTGCATTCTGAGCAGCACTGTATGGTTCCCTATAATCCGGGAAATATAGATCCTAAAATCTAAAGAGATTGACAGTAACTAAAATTTAGGAAAAGAATATAAAAATCATACAGAGTAATTCTTCAGTTTTCTTTGTGAAATTATACCTCAGAGGGATAGAGTGTGTAGATATTAGTGGATTTATTTCTTAAGAATTTCATTGGCAGAGTCTGAGTAATAATTTCTAACTGATGAGGCAGTGGAAGCCGAGTCCGTCAGGTATCTCTACATCCTCATAACCCTTGTTACATTGTCCGTTTTTATGAGAGCCCTCCTGGGTGTCAGAATGGTATCTCTTTGTGGTTTTAATTTGCGTTTCCCTGGTGGCTAATGATGGTGAGTCTTTTCATGTGCCCGTTAGCTATTTATGTATCTTTGGGGAAATATTTATTCAAGTGTTATTTTTTTCTTCCATTTAAAAAATTGCCTTATTGAGTTGTCACGTTTTTTAGTCTATGTAAAAGTCTTCTCTCCAGTATGAATTCTCTAAAGATATGATGTACTAGCAACAGAGAGCACCTCAGGCCCTGCTGCGGGCTATTTATCAGAAGCTTTCAGTAACTACTTCTGTATAGTTGCCTAAAGGATATTTGATCCGAGCCATTATCCAATTACTTAAATTCATTTTTATGCCCTAGGAGCTCATCAAGAGATTTTAAAACTTTTTTTTTTGATTAATAGATTTGTTTTTATTAACTAGTATTTGGCTTTATGCTATTTAGGTACATTGTTGGGTATTAAAATCAGCCCTTTAACACATTCTACTTTAAAATGCAGACCTTGCTTTTAAAACTGTTTCTTCTTAAGGAGAGTTTCTCTTGAAGAAACTTGTTTCAGCTCACAGGACAAGATAAAAGCTTTTCCTGTCAGTGAGTCTACTTTTATTTACTTATTTTTTAATTCGTTTTGAGTGTGGTAAAATACACAGAACATAAAGTTGACCATGTTAGCCCTTCTTGGGAGTACAGTTCAGGGGCGTGAGGTGCATTCACGTTGTTGTGTGATCTTCATGACTGTCTATCTCCAAACTTGCTGTGATCCCAAATGGATGCTTATTAAGCAGTTACCCTCATTCTATCCTGCCCACAGCCCCTGATGACCACTCTTCAGCTTGCTGTCTCTCTCAATTTGAATATTTGTCCTTTTGTGTCTTTCACTTAGTTCTTTCACTGAGTTTTTTTTCATGTTTTTAAGGTTCATGATGTAGTATGTGTCAGAATTTCATTTCTTCTTGAAGCTGACTAACATTTCATTGTTTGGATGTACTATGCTTTGTTTATTCATCCATCCACGGACATTTGGATTGTTTCCGCCATTTTGGCTATTGTTAGTGGTGTAAAATAGAGTCCCTACTTTCAGTTCTTCACGGATGTTCTTAATAGTGTTCAGAATCATGACTCCATTCCAGAAGGTTTTCTGTTTACTTGGTCGAGTTCCATCAAAGGAATCACTGTCTATGGCAGCTACAGCCTTATGAAGTGTGTGTGTTAAATAAATAATAAGACCAGGAAGTTGAAATTAGGCCTTGCTCCAGGGGCTGCAGAGTAGCTACGTTAGCAGTGATGAAAACAGCAGTCTTGTGCATCTTCATCAGAGCTCTTGGGTGACCAGCTAAATTGTCTTTGAGCAGTAATACTTTGAAGGAATTTATTTTTTTTCTGAGCAGTAGATCTCAGTAGTGGACTTAATAAAATTTAGTAAAAACCATGTAGGAGGGGTGCCTGGGTAGTTCAGTCGTTAAACATCTGACTCTTGATTTTGGTTCAGGTCATGATCTCAAGGTTATGGGATTGAGCCCCGCATGGGACTCTGCAGATGGCAGGGAGCCTGCTTGGGATTCTCTCTCCCTCTTCTGTGGCACTGCCCCCACTTGCACTTGCATGCTCTCTCGCTCAAAAACAAAAAAAACCCATCTTGTAAACAGATATGTTGTCATCTAGGTTTTATTGTTCCATGTGTAGAGCACAGGCAGAGAAGATTTAGTATGATTCTTAAGGGCCCTAGGATTTTCAGAATGGTAAATGAGCATTGGTTTCAACATTCGGTCACCAGCTGCATTAGTCACCAAATGAGAGTTAGCCTTTCCTTTGAATCTAGGCACTGACTTCTCTCTAGTCATGAAAATCTTAGATGGTGTTTTCCTAGAAGGCTGTTCAATCTGCATTGAAAATCAGTTGTTCAGCGTAACCACCTTCGTTGATTGTCCCAACTAGATCTTCTGGGTTACTTCCTGCAGCTTTCACATCAGCATGTGC